GGAGCAGCCACAACGCCGGGCATCTAAGAACGTAATTGGAATGCGCAATCTTTCCTACCAGGAGAGGCTGCGACGACTAGGATTGTTCAGTGGAAGCTATCGCAGACTACGAGGCGACCTGATTATGGCATACTTGATTCTGCGAGACCCACATCATGTGTGCCGCCCTTTACTGCAACTCAGCAGCAATACAAACCTGAGGGGCCACTCATTAAAACTCGCAGAACAATACAGTCGTCTGGAGTGCCGCAGAAATTTCTTTTCCATCCGTGTCTGTCATCTGTGAAATGCTCTCCCAGAATCGGTCGTCTCTGCACCGACACTAACAATATTTAAAAGACGGTTGGACGATGCACTCAGCCACTTACACTTTGTTACTTAACACTACGTCTCCATCCTACACCTGGAGTTTACCCTGGAATTATTTGTTGTTAACTGTGGGTGCTGTGAATCTAAGTGGATCGCAGGACTGCAGCGAAGCAAACGATAAGTCCTTATTTTCCTATTTAAAGTATTAACTATTTTACTATCCTTATCATCATTATTGTTATGTTGATATCCCCTGCAACTATCCAACGGGACTTGTAAAGCAACGCTTCTTAACTCGTATAAATTCATTGTTCATTGTTCATTCCAGATGACAGACAAAATTTCATTCGGCGTACCAAGTCTCTAATCAAACCTTCCAGGTCCTTTTTCTTACTTCTCCTTGTCTTTCAAAATAGGGCACTTGTCTATTTTGTTGAATCGAACAGTTTCTGTTGCTCTGAAAGCAATATCTCGCAAATGTTCCATCTAAGAGTATCCCGTAAAAATAAGCAAAGAAATGTTTGTGAGTCTTTGGTGTCTCTAAAATATAAAGCATGTTCATCATGTTCAAAAGATGATCTAAATCCTGACACTATTGTGTCAGCAATTCCAGTATCTGTTATCTGCATACACCTGCATTTGGTAGCAATAATCTGTTTCTGAACATCCGATGGTCGGTTGTTTGAACCCAAAACTAACTGGCTTGCCACATATAAACTGCATGAGATAGTGATGACCGTAATATCAAACCATTTGATCATCGACACTCAAATTTTCAGACAACACGCTAAATGTTAGAAAAGTTTTGTTTTTTTCGTCAATCAATGGACGAATCTTGAACAGCTTATCCCGTTCTTCTGCTGGGATCCCTGGGGACACCAAATTGTCACTGATTCATTGGTTAATTGGTCTGTAGAGAACAGGAGGGGAGACCCTTGTCAGCTCCGTTGGTTCCGATTCAGTGTAAGTTTGACGCAAATAAATGCGAAGCGGTATTCCTATGGGAATCGTCGCCGTTGCAATAGGAGCAGCAGAACCCTGTCTTACTCATCAGATGGCAGTCAAACAGCCGTTTAAAAGATTCCATTCTCGGTGCACCAGCAATCGTCTGCGGTAGGCTGTTACAACCGTTCACTACACGTGTTGCGTGTTTGGTTCGCTCAACCGCATCAAGAGAATACCCACCAGCTCCGCGCACAAGCTTGCCATTTACAAGTCTGAGGTACTGTGCAATTAGCTGGGTGTTTAAAACTCATTCGTCCACTTGATCGATCGCTTGATCGACCGCACTGAGGAAGGCCCTTCCCTTTGCCCCAGCTGTCCATCACCATTACATCCTTTCTTCGCTATTTTTAGTAGGTGGTTGCATTAAGTTTTTTATGGTTTTGCGCCGCGTATACGCTTGCTGTCTCTGGCTGAGGTTGCTGGTACCCTTTCTTGTTGCTGCTGCCGATCCTTGTTTTACGGAGTCCGTCCATTGCGTGCTCTCCTAATTCGCACCCCATTCCGTCCAATGATATTACTGCCTAGCCTGACTCCTACCTCCTATCACCCCTGTGACCCTCAATCACTTCCCTCCGCCAATGTTCTCGCGCATCTGGTGTTGGTTGCACCCATACTTCTACAGCTAGGGGTGGGAGGCCTTTCGATCCAAGATCATAGTACTTTTTTTTAGACATTCTGTTCTGTATTCGGTTGTGCACAGAAGCGTTTGGTGCTATCTCGGGCTCTAGTAGCATTGTAGCTGCAGGTAGGAGGGTTCTTGTTCTGAGACTGAATAGTCGCTGCATCGGACTTATTCCGATCTCGGTAGACGGCGTGTTTCTTCGCTCTAAAAACATTATGCAGGGATCCTCGAGGGTCTCCTTAGCTGTAGTGAGCACTTACTTCGCCTCTTTCACTGCTGACTCATCCATCCCATGTACTTGCCTGTGGTACGGGCTGATGAGCCGATGCCGAAATCCCACTTCTTGCTAAGAGCGCGGAATTGTGCACTACTGAATTGCGGTCCGTTGTCGGAAATCACCACCTCGGGGATTCCATGCTGAGCGAAATGACACCGCAACTTGTTCACTACGGCTTGCGCGCAGGTTGACGTAAGCGCATCATTCTCGAAGTAGTCACTGAAATAGCCGGCCACAAGCAACTAGCTCTTCCCGTCGTGAACAAAATTGTCCAGTGCAACCACCTTGCCAGAGCCTATCCGGAGCGTCACGAATCATCGTCCGCTCCTTCGGCTGGCGCACATCGTGTGTCCTGCAGGTTAAACAATTTGATACGAATCACGTATTTGACTAATCATTCCTGGCCAGAACATCAGTTCATGTACTCTTGCCACGCAATTCTTGATTCCCAAATGTGCATAGTGTACCATATGCCGTATTGAAGGTAGCAATGCCTTCGGAATCACTATCCTGTTGCCCTTGAATTTTAATCCATCTTAGGTGATGAGTACGTCGCGAAAATTATAGAACGGTGTTAACACTTTGGGCAATTTTTTATTGTCTTCGGGTCATCCGTCTGTTATCGTCTGCCTCAATAGCCTGCGCTGTTCTTCCTGCTCTGTGCACCGTTGGATCTGCTGCAGACGTTCCTTAGTGACAGTGACCAGCTGTGTTGCATGGACAAAATCCGGGTACTTTTCCATTTCCGGTGTGTCTGACAGGTGCACACTTGACAATGGGTCCGCAATGTGCATCTGGGATTCTGGTCGGTAGATTATATCCAAGCCATACTTCAGCAGCCAAATGAGCATCCTTTGCAGGAGATGTGGAACGGCTGAGTGACCCACTAGCGATGGATACAAGTGGTTTGTGGTCAGTGAAGACTGTTGTTTTGCGGCCAAATGTATAATTGTTGATGCGTTCTACGGCGTAAACCAGCGCCAACATTTCCTTTTCAATTTGTGCGTAACGAGGCTAAGCGTCTGTGAGCGTGCGACTACGAAAATCGACAGGCTTATAGCTTAGCACAACTACAGCTTCAATGCCGTAGTGGCTACCGTTACATTGAATCTCGAGTGGAAGCGACGGGTCAAGGTAAGCATGGAGAGGAGCTTTTGTAATTAATTCGTTGATCATCCTAAAGGCATTTTGTGATTCAGAGCCCCGGAGCCAAACTTCACCCATATGGGTATCATCATATCGGCCAGTCGTGGAAGGAAACGGCTCAAGTAGTTGACCATTCCGTTTAGCCTGCTAACCGCCTTTGCATCTGTGTAGGGACACACATATATTTTATGGTCCTGAATTTTTTGGGATCCGGTTTAAATCTTGTTGAACTCAGCAAATGCCCATGAAATGTCAACGGTTTTGCTTAGCTTGACTTGCTCACGCTTTAGTTTGATGTCTTTTATCACTACAACGTTGTAGAAACTAGTGAAGGTGACGATCGTGTTCCTCTCGAGTAGCACCCAAAACTAGCACGTCATCTGCTACACGAAAGACTCCGGGCAGATCGTCTAAGTTTTGCAGCAGCCGCTTCTGTAATATCGCACTAGATACCTTCAAACCCAAGGGCAAACGAAGCCACCTAAAATATCCAGAGGGCGTTCCAAATGTAGGCAGATAGATAGACTTGACGAAGCGTCAAGTGCTGCACGTCAGAAGGCTGAAACGAGATGGCCTTTCGTGAACATTTTTGCCTTTGATAACTCGGATAGCATGTCATCTATTATCGGTAGGGTATAATACTCTCTTCCGAGTGAGGCAATGAGCTGTTTAGGGTCGACACAAGCAAATCACCGGATTTTCTAATGACGATTTCCATTTGGCTTACCCGATCTGTCGGCTCAACGACCTTAACTACAACACCCAAACTGGACAACCACTTCAGTTCTTCTAATAGTCTTTCACGCAATGCTATAGTCACCTTCCTAGCTGGCTGGGCTACTGACCTAGCAGATTCCTTTAACGATAAATGAGCGCATCCATCGAATTTCCCAATAACCCCATCCAACACGGCAGGATACAGATCAACAATATCTGCAGCGGATTGACACGAGTAAGCAAAACGATCAGGGTTAAATGAAACGAAACCAAAGCGCTGGATAGGATCAATGCCCAAGTTGGGCTTAACTTCTGCTGGTACAACCAGGAATTAAAACTGGTGTTCCTTTCCGTCTTCTGGTTGACAACGGTCACGATAGCCTTTCCTTTCGGTTGTAATCTGGAGCCTTCCTACATTTTGAGACTAAAACATGCTTCAGTACATTTTACTCAAGAGTAATGTCCATCGGGCAGTATGTTTACGGTGGCTCCCGAATCGAACTGAAAGCCACCTGGGCGTCTTTGAATTAACAGTTTAGCAACATTGCACTTCTGCCCTCCAAAGTGCTCCATATTTGTTTATGGAGATCTCATTTGTGTCATGTTGACTTTCTTTGTCTGACGCGCTGATGTTGGCCGATCTGCAACAACGAACGAAATGGTTTTTCTGTTTACCTTTCATGGACAACTCTTTCTTCGTCTCGGAGGATTCCGACCACAAAAATGGCACCTGGCCTTCTGCCTCTCAGATGGCAAGGAGAGGGCTTCCTTGGTGTTCGATACTGTACAAACTCCTTCTGTCGTGCTCGCCCGCAAATTCTGAAGCGTCGTGATGTTCTTTTTTCGCTAAGCCACATATCTACACATTGATTTAGTGACAAGCTTTACTGTCTCAGAAGACGTTGTGTGAGGTCGTCATTTCCGATGCCGATTACGACGCGATCGTGTACCACAGAGTCCCGCATACAGTTACAGAAGTTGTACGTTCGCGCCAGAACTTTCAATTGTAATGTGGGCCTCGACTCACGCATTCGGTGGGCGATTGCGACCAAAAACAGCTATCTTTGGTACGTTTCGTTTGCTTCGCAATATTTGCAAAATTTCTTGATTATCGCCGGGATGTCCGGCCCTCTCTCCCCTGCATCACTGATATCCAAAGTCTCAAGTACTCATCCGACTTCAACGCAAAAGCCTGTCTGAACAGAGGAAGCTGGTAAGGCATCGGATAGGAATCCAACTGTGTCGTCAGTGTGACGAAATCGGTCCACTTCGCTTTCCACATTCGCCAGTTATCAGGCAGTATGCTTTCCGTCATCTGTAGAGCAGTCAGCAGCGGGAACGACGGCTGTCCACCAAAATTGAACGGGGTCCGGCTCGTCAACTTCTTCCCCTCTGTCACCATGTTGCTTGTTTGGTTCTCCCAGCCGCTTCAAGAGAAAGAATTTGCACCGGCTCCGCACACAAGCGTTCAATGTACAAGTCTGAGATAATGTACAATTAGCTGGGGAGACCCTTGTCAGCTCCATACATTTCGATTCAGAGCAAGTATGACGCAAATAGCTGCGAAACGGCATTCCTCTGGGAATCATCGTCGTTGCAGTAGGAGCAGCAGAACCCTGTCGTACTCCTCAGATGGCAGTCAAACAGCCGTTTGACTCATTCCACTCTCGGCGAATCAGCCATTATTTCTGGTAGGTTCTTCCAATTATTCATTATACGAATCGATAGGTAGCCTCTGGAGGGAAGTGAAGTAATCTGCTGTTGTACGACTACTACTTTGTGCCTCGTGTCGAGCTGTCTACCTTAAGCCGGAAGTGATTTTTCATCTCACTCCTAAGTTCGGGTTTTTAGATCCATCGGGTGTAGATAATATCTCCACGGCGCCGACTATAATCCATGGGAAGATGTTCAGCTTTTGAGTCGAAATTGACAAGCTCGATCTCAAAGCTCCATGACGGATTCCGAGCCACGCTTCCAAATCATTTCCAGCAGGTCTCATTCAGATATAAAGAGGATAGGTAAAGAAAGCCGTTACTCCAATATCGCGTGAACATGTGATATGAATAGAATTCTGAAAATATCCGGAGTGATACGGGAGAAAGACCAGAGTAGAGCTCACACATTCTGCTTGCGATAGCGACCTTCCTTAGAGTGTGTTGAGATGTTCTAAGGTCATGTGACACGATAAATCCCAGATCCTTCTCGTACGTAACATTCTTGAAAGATATTAGCCAATGTGGTATGCACCGGATATTTCCAGGTTACCCATCAGGAGAAGGGCACATTTTTCGCGAGTTACGGGTAGGTGCCACTTAACGGGCCAATTGTGCAGCTGGTCTAGCACGGTTTGAAGTCTGTCCCCGTCTTCAAGGTTAGCTACTTCTGACTATAGGCTGAGATCATCAGCATAGACTAAGCAGTTGGCTTGAAGAGCTGCAGGGAGTTCATTAATTTAGAGCTTGAAAAGTTCCTGCTCAAGGACAGAGCCTGGTGAGACTCCGCTAGTCATAGACACAGAGCCAGACAGCGTTTGGTTTACTTTTACTTGAAGTGTTTGATCTCTCATGTAGTCCGCATCCTATGTGAGGACGTTTCCAGGGACGCCACTTCCCCGCAATTTAAGTAGAAGTCGTTTGTGTGGAACTTCGTCAAACGCCTTGCTGAAGCCAATCTAGGTGTCTCCGGTCGTCCACTGCTTTGACCCCTGCTTCTATGGCAACAAGCGGGTTGGTGATGGAACAGCGAGCTCTGCGGAATATGTGCCGAGCGAGTGAGATGGTGTACAGGCTTTCGCAGTGAGTGTGGAGGAAACGATTGACGATCCCTTTCATGGCTTACAAACTACCGACGTCAAGCATATCGGTCGATGGTTTACAGTATCGTGCCGTCGCCTTCCTTTGTACTTAAACATTACAATCTTTACTTTCCAGTCAGGTAGTAAGCGCTCGGCTCCAAGAGAAGGTCGGAAAAGTTGATGCATTGAATCAGCACTGCACTCAGTTACCACCTCGAGGAGTAGCGGGTGAAGTCCTTCGGGGCCGGGTGCGGAGTTAGAGTTCAGTTCCCAGAGGAGTCCCATGACTATATCGGGGTTGATTTCGACTTGTTCGAGAGAATAATAATGGGTTGTCAGAGCATCAATGGGTAGTGACGATTCCACGGAGTAGATCGAGGAGTACTGGGAAGCTAGTAGTTGAGCCTTCTCGTCATCTTCGTAGAGCCCTGTGTCTTCCTCCTGTAAGGTTAAAACACGTATAACACTGCCCGCTTTGGTGTTTCACTACAGGTGCCAGAATAGCTTCTTCGAGCAGATGCGCGATTGCATGACCAAGCTATGTTCGTTTTGGGCTCGTTTCTGGCGATTTGTTAGCAATCACAGCTTTATGATCATCTTGTACTTTAAGTGACCTGATGTTGCCTGTGTTTACGTGAATACGTCCCATAGTTTGCGTCGTCTGTTCATCAGGGAATCTCACCTCTCGGTTGATCTAAGAAGACCGTTGGGGAAAAGCCTGCCCTTGGTGATAGAAACAACTCCTTCACCTCATCTTCGAACGCAGTAATTTCCATGCCTCATCAAGGTTTAAGGATGGGGGACGTTTCAGTCTGCTGTGCTTGGCAATTCTTGTAATCTGGATGGGATGACACGTCAGATATTGCGTTGATGTGTCCCCTGCTGGTGAACAGCAAAACGGCATACCCCGAAGAAGGAAATTATACAGAGACCACTCCTACCTAGTGGTTGAAAAAGCTTCTCTTCATGGACATTAAAGAGCTTCGGTGTGAGGACGAGATTAATAATGTTTGGTGTTTGACCCGGCATCATCCGTGTTGATACTGAGACATATTGAATCAGCTTGCATTCCTGAATAGCGTTGAGAAGGCCGGTCTCAAAGGAAGCTTGGTAATGATAACAGTGAAGAAGTTTCAGTCGACACTGGGTGCATTGAAGTCACCTATTAGCAGAGAGTTCCTGCTTCTAGCATTAGTTTTACCGGCTGTAATCGACGGACGCCTGAGCTCCGTGGGGCTCTGTAAACCATACCGACCGTGTGCAGTTGATAGACGTCATGAATTTGGCACCACAGTATCTCTGAGACTCCCTCATAGTCACAGCTGGCTTCGATAATGTGTACCTTGTGGCAGGACCTCGAGTGAAGAATTGTTCCACGCTCAGTCCGTCCACTGGAGCGACCTGCTTTTAAGGGTTCGTCATCACCATCATACTACACGTTAGCTGGATGTGGGGAACACCTCAGCTACTGCGCCGCAATGCACAGAAAAAATGAGAAAATAATACAACTGGTGCAAGCTGGCTGAGCTACCGGTAACGGATGGGCATCGTTCCGGTAAGCTAGCAGCCGGCTACTGTGCACCAAAAAATTACTATGCAAATTATATAAGGCTAAATAGTGAGATCGTGGTTGGAGGGGGAGGCTAAGAGGGATGGGGTGGGACAAAGAAAATCACAGCAAGAACGCCACTGAGGTCGGCTCCTAGCCATATCAGCAAGTGTGTCCAACCAAACGTGTTCATCGTCTTTCGGACCCCAACCAGGGAGCCGAGACGCTCCAACCCAGGCCAGCTCAGAAGTGAGGGCCTTCATTCTTCTCGACCAAGTCATCGCTTGGCCACCCCTCCTCTTCTTCCATCCACACCCCCGGCGCGCAAACAACACACGTCGCGGGAGTCGGTGGGCTGGGATGCGTAACACGTGGCCGAGCCACCGTAGCCCGATGCGTGGAGTCACGGTGCTAAGCGGTTCAGCTCCTTTCCCTGTGCCGTAAACAAGGCGTCGAACTCGCTCGTTGCTCATGTGGGGTTCCCACCAGATGTGAGCTAAATTACGAAGGCACTGGTGGTCGAACGTAACTAGCCTCTTCAGGTCCGCTGCTTTAAGCGGCCAGGTTTCACAACAGTACAGTAGGGTCGAACGTACCGCTGCATTGTACACTCTACCGTTCAGGGCAAGTGTGATGTCGCGTCGGCGCCATAAGTGGCGAAGGTTAGCACAAGCGCCCCGAGCGTTTGCTATACGATTCGTGATCTCATCTTCAATCCCACGAGCCCTGATACAACTTCCCAGGTAGTTGAATTTTTGAACGACTTCTAGCTGATCCCCACCAAGGGTCAGCGTAGGAGGTGGTCCAGACCAATTTTGGAGGAAGGCTTTGCACTTCGAGGATGCGAAGCAACGCCCGAAGTGACAGACAGCTAGTGCTAATCTGTCCAGTGCCGCTTGGCACGTTTGTGTGCTGTCACAGACTAGGGCAATATCGTCAGCATACTGTAAGTCAAGAAGTCGTTCTCTTGGGAGTAGCTCCACACCTTCAAATTCGTGTCCTGTAAGTGCAACCTTCATGGCTTCGTCAATAGCGAAGTTGAAGAAGAAAGGTGACAGCGGGCATCCTTGTCTCACGCCGCTGGAGATATTAAAGAGCGACGACAACTTGCGTAAGCCCTCACTCTGCCCGAGCTCCGCGCATATAATGCTCGGATAATATCCACATATTTCTCAGGTACACGTTTCCTGAGTAGACAGTCCCAAAGTGCATGTCTATCCACCGAGTCGAATGCGCCTTTGATATCGAGGAACACGACAACGGTGGGCCGCCAATATATGTGACGGTGCTCCAACAACTGACACAAGGTGAAGATGTGGTCAATGCAGCCATGACCTCGACGAAATCCAGCCTGCTCCTCACGAATCTGGCTTTCACGAGTGCCAGTCAGTCTGTAAAGGATGACAGAAGCAAGCAATTTGGAGGCAATGGAGATCAGACTGATTCCTCTATGGCTGCCACATTCTGATCGTGAGCCTCCTTTGAAAATGGGTACTATGACGGAGCGGCTCTAATCGTTTAGGACAGTTTCCTGCTCCTACAGTCTCACTAGTAACTCGTGTAAATCATCCACAAGAGCAGGTCCCCCGAATTTGAAGAGGGTTGGAGGAAGATCATCAGGTCCCGCGGCTTTATTTAACTTCAACAGTTCGATATCACGTTTGACTTGAGAGCGAGAGGGTGGATCCAAATGGACAGCCCAGTGAGCGGGGCGATCAGTGGCTGGCGAGAAAACTAACCATTCCGACCGATTAAATTGCCTTTCAAATTGCTCAGCCTAACAATCCAAGCGTTTTGACAAATTGTGGATAGGCTGTCCACTCTCGTCACGTTTAGTTTTACTAACACCAG